TTTAAATGTTGTTATTTATTGATATTAAATCACCTATACAAATTTATATTTAAATGTATACGAAATGGTATGTATAAGAAGAAATTCGAGCTTAAAAGTAAAATTTAAAAATCATATTTTGATGAGTAAAAATAATGTATATTATCAAACTTTGGTAAATACCAGTAACATTTGAGTTCATTAAATCGGTATAACTAACGCATATATGTAAATACATACAAGTTATATATATATTTTTAAATAAATCACGTTTTCGCTAGTATGATAATTAATAAATTAGAATTTAGTACATATTACTAAGTACACCATTTGTTTAAATGAAACAAATGATGATTCAATACGTATAGTTTTGAACTAGAATATAAATAACTAGAAAAGAGAATACTTGTGACAAATATCAACTATATAAGCTTAAAAGTTTTTGATACTTTTTTAAAATAAACTAGTGCACATCATAATTTAGAAAATAAAAGAAAAGATAAAGGAACACATTTAAGACAGATACATTTCTATCTTTTTCGTCATGTTTATTGATCACTGGACGTTCAAAGATCAAGGGACAATATACACCCATTCAAAACATTAATTGGCCATTAATATTATTATTTAGTTTCATAAGAACTATATCATTATATTCGTAGTATCGGTTTATAACTCCCCCCCCGCCCAAAATATTTCTCTTATTTTTTGTAAAATATAAAATCATTTTAAGATATAGGTATAATGTTACATCATGTTATCATTAAACAATTTTCACAGTTTACTAAATAATAACACAATTTATGTTTTAACTTATGGTTAATCTACTTATTAAAATTGAAAAATTGGTACTTATGTTGGAAAAAATTGAAAATTGAAAATCTTCCTTAAAATATTTTTCTGGCTGCGCCACTGATGTATATCATTAGTGACGTATTTTCAGAGAGGGATTTCCCGGGTATCGACCGCGGAAGCAGCCGAATTGGTTCCCGTTTGTCTACAGGTAAAATAGTGACAATTTCAATTTTCAACATAATTTACCTACACTATTAAAAATAAAAATCCAGCGGGCCAGTGCATAAAGAGAAAAAACCAAATTTTAAAAGTTTTAAATATATATTATCATATATCGATCATATTATATCGATAAGATTAAGTATAGAAATATAATACACAATAGATTACTGGATTTGGAAAATTGTATGACTGACTAAATTAATAAGAAGTTTACAAGAATTCAATATTTAAAAAAAGTTAGCTTCAAATTTACAAATCAGTTGTTTTAAACTGTATTTATTATATTTTATTATTTGTATTTAAAGTGATGACAACAATTTGACTTCCAAATTAACGTTTTAAAATTGTAGATATTCTATCATTTTTTTTTTAACACACATTAACGCACATTTTTAACCAAGCTTACTTTCAAGTTGACAGTCCTAAACCTGTAAAATTGAGAAAGAAAATGTGCGTGATTAAACGATAACCAATTCGGCTATACCTAATAAAATACCTTTTTCAAACGGGAACCAATTCAACATATGTCTTTGGAGCTCGGGAACCAATTCGGTACCAGCTTCGATCGCGACCACCTTCAGAAGAAAAAAAGGGTTCAAAAGTTATAAATTACTTGCTACGAAAGGACATAGAAAAATACCATTAATTTCTATTTCGTGGCAGTAAACAACTCTTCGTTTACATTTATAATAATAATATAATTTTTAATTCATTTTTTTTATAAAATCACTTATTTTTTAGAAAAATTCGAAAAACCTCTGGTACAAATATGCATTTCATTTTTTTTTAACGCTAACATTCTCAGTAAATAAAGATATTTTACTAAATATACTCGTACGTATATGACAACAGTACAAATGTTATTAGTATAATATACTAAGCTAATTTTTAAGTATAAACATACAGGATTAAATAAAATAAAATAAATAGCTTGAAATTTTAAATTTTCTTTCATAATGTTCCTATTAAATTATGTATATATATATATGGCATAAATAAAAATTAGAAAAAACATTTAGAACCCAATTCATATGCAAGAAATACATTTTACTTTTACCTGCAAAACTATTGCATTGAACCACTAAACATTTTTTAATGTTTTCAAAAGTTAAGAGATCGCCGATTATCCGATTAATGTAATCGACGATAATCATTCATTTTTTACGGTTAAATATAAATAAAACTGGACATTTTGTGTCAACCTGGGATTTGAGAATCATGATAGGTACAATATATAATGAAAACTCTCAAAATAAATACTATTTTATTATTGCTAACATTTTTAAATGTTATTATAATAATCAAATATGCTCTAAAAAATGGCAAAATTAAGAAATATGCGCTAAAAATTGTTAAAACACTAAATATGCAAAAATATGCACTATAAACTTTTAATATGTTTTTCGTAGTGTCATGAAAATAATTTCAAGCTTACTTAGCAATAAAATGAATAGCCTAATAAAAACATAGAAATGTAACATCTTCCGAACATTAATAATACTAATACAACCGTCGTACAGCTAAACAAAACGCGCGCGTCGTGTACCACAAAGTGTGCGCGTATTATTTGATAAGACAGACGTATCGCTTGACGTTTCCGTAAAAACAAATAGTATTTCACGATTATTTCGTAGACCGATGAAAAGTTTTGAGAAGATGCGATTTGTGGAAGGGAGGTCTAGACAAATACTTTTTTTCTCATTTAAATGGTTTTGATTAGCTAGAAATGTTATTACCATAACGATTTTAATGGCGTGCAACGTATCATCGAGATGAGTACATGCTCGTGTGTATTTTTACTATGCTAAAATGTACGAAGTTTTGTTATATTATTATGAGTTGGATTTTATGTAATTATCGATACATGTTCGATCGGAAATCGGTATCAGCACACCACGCGGTAGGTATGGGTTACAGAAGACAATTTTATTGAAGAGTTTTGAACGTGTCTGGTTAGGAGCAGAACGATCGATTTCCGGCGACGATTATGGCGATTTCACAATACGTACGCACTACAATTTCAGAGAGTGCTGGTGGATAAAATGTAAGGTACACACGGTTTTCCGTCAACCGTAGGAAGTACACGAGAAGAATAACAATTTATCGTCACATTCTCCCTCTTCGTTATGATATTATTGTTCTTACGGTTAATACATGAAATGCGTGTATATATTTATGATTATTTTGACTTATCGCGGAGGATCTTCCGGGTTTCAACTCATTTACATACACTACCGAGTTTGCCATTAGATTTGAATGAAAAAACTTTCGTAGATCGGCGATAAAAAAATCGATTTATTTGGATTAGTTATAGTCTTACAGTTACATAGGATTGAAAGAGATAAGATAAATTAGTGAAAATCATTTGACAGTCGATAGTATGTGTCTGTATAGAAAGTGTTTGTAAACATTTTTAATTTTAATATATATGTACAAGTACTACTATTAACAACAACAATACTAACAGTAATAATGACAATTTAAGTCCGCAGACAGCACAATTAACAAAAAAAAAAAAAAAAAACCCTACAATAATAATACATTTTAATTTATAAAATGGTAAGAACTGCACTACAGAAAGTCTATATGTTTTCGTTTTTTTTCTGCAAAACTTCTGTATTTACTTTTGGCAAAAATGTCTTGTCAGTATTTACTGTTCAATACTACACCACACTATAATACCACATAATATATCTATAATAAATATCTTGAATAAATAATAATCACTATTCGGAATCTCTTTTTCTACTGTTGTTCGGATCACATGTTTATAAAAATAAATAAAAAACAAGTATGTTGAAAAAAAAACAATACGCGATAGCTTTATCACGGTAGATATATATTTTATAATTATTGTTATTATAATTGTACTAACGCGTAAGCCAGTAATCATAATTTATATTTACAATAATATTCAACTTATCACCTCTAGAATATTAGTTTTAAAAGCCATATGCTTAGTAAATACATAAAAAATAAATTAAATGTGCGTAGTTATTGTTAATAAACGACTGACTAATTAAAAAGTTTATTATTTTTTATATCAATAGTATTACAGTAAAAGCTAACGGGAAATTAAAACAATTACAACCGTCGACTTTTTTAAGATTTGAAAAATTCAATTAATCATCGTATAATTAAGCATGTTGATTAATGAGAATTAATATTTACTGCGAAAAAGTGTTTATAACTGTAAGAGGTGCACTATAAAAAATATTTCCCCTCTCAAATAAGAATTTAAAATCATCCGTTATGTAAGTATTTAACGACAGAGGTGGAAAATTAATTACACAATTTGAAAACATTGAATTGTAATCTAATTTCACATTACTTTTCAGTTGTATCCAATTGTTATCGATAAATTGTGTGCATTCGAATTTCGTGTACCCTACACGCAAATATTTACACAATTTTTGGATATTTTGCTCCAAAGCTAATAAAACATACTACAAGAACATGATTTCGTAATTATTTGTTACCTTTGTATACGGTTTCAATTATTACAAGTATATTCGTTTCGGTCTAAAAGCTTTCTAGACCAATTGTATCTGGTCAGCGAATCGCACACCGATATATATTATTCGTGGCGAACAAGTAGCATTCTTCGCATTGCCATAACCGTGGGCCAATAGAACTTATACGTTAATTACACAATATTCTATATACAAAACAATACATGTTTTACATCATCAAAATGTGGTTGCGTTATGAAAACACGCGCTGAACCGGTCACGAACTAAACGAATTCAACAACTTTTGCGACCGTCGCGGATCTATTCGGGCCTCCGTTCGTTTGAATCATCATATACTCGAAAAAGTTACGTACGCGTTGGCAATACGAGGGAACCATCCGAATCGGCCCGTCTCAGAAACCAGTAATAGGTTTACCGGTAAGGGCGGGAAAAAATCTTGCTGGCGATTTCGCGTTCTACCGCGCGCAGTGCACATAGTGTTTATGTTTGGGGATAGCATTCGGCGAAGTAGTCTATAGGTAGCGGACTCACCTGAAAGCCAGGGCAAGCTTGCACTCCAGGTACCGGATCATGGAATTGAGGAACGTTGCGGGCAAGGCACACAGCAGCCACTTGAACAGCATGAGTCCGAAGTTGGGCACGTCCCGGCGCACAATGTATTTGACCATTTTGCCCTCCATGGTGGCCACGAAGATGGACATGAACGTGCGGCAGATGAGCGCGAACGTGTGCATGGACAGCAGGCCTACCTCGGGCGTCCAAAAGCCGGGCACCATGAGCCGCAGCAACTTCTTCAGCTGGATCAGGAACTCGCGGTCAATCCCGGGCCCGGCCGACCTCATCTTCTTCGGGATCGACGACTTTTTGCCCGCGATCGAAACCACTTTGGTGGTAGTGGTGGTATTGTTGTTGTCGTTGGCCTGGCCAGACGGCCGCCGTGCGCCGTCCTCCGGCCCTTTGCTGTCACCACCGTTAACGTTGCACACCTTCAGCACGATTGGATAGCCGATCTTGCAGCCGTAAAGCAGCACGGCCGCGGCCAGCACCCCTTTGCTCACGTTGTCCCGGCGCATAATGCTGCCATCCAGGTACTTGGATATGACCGTGGGCATGACGATGACAGTCGATGTGAGCGGTGTGGACAGGTCTGCTGCGGTTGCGGTGGCGGTGCTGTCAGTGGTGTTGTTGTTGTTCCTGCTGCAAGGGGCGTTCGCGGCCCGTCAAGGCATGTCGTGCGCGTTCCCGTTCAAAAGGCCGGTAACGACGGACGAGAGTTAGACGGACGGACCGCGCGCGCGCACAAGCACCACGTTACCGCTAACCCGGTGCCGGATCTCACAACGGTCGTGATCGCGAGGAACGAAACGGAGGTGTGTGTGGGAAGGGGAGAAATAAGAACGAAACGGTACAAAGAACGTGGACGACGACGACGACGAAAGGGTGTTGTTATAACGGTCGGACGATCGGAACAAACGCACACGGAAAAAAAACGAAGATCGCGCGCGTCGGAGTCGACGTTGGCTACTGAACGATTCGCGGCATACGTAGTACGCTGTGCGCGCAGCCCACTCGCCGCCGCGGCTTTCCGTGTGACGTCGCGGACGGGTGAGGGTCGGCGGCGGCGACCGATGCGCTTGGTGCGATGTAACGTAACGACGCGCCCGCGCCAACCTCACTCGACGCGTCCCCCCCCCCCCCCGTGCGCATAACCGCTGACACTCCCCCCCCTACCCGGTGACCGATACATCGTACCTCCCCTCCACCGGTACCGAGCGCCGACCGCCGCAAGTCCGTACCCGCCGACGGTTGTAGCGTTACAGTCGTAGTAAAAGCAGTTGTAACCGTAGTGCAGGTATTAGTGGTAGCAGTCGGTCAACATTTTTTCTTCGACTCTTCTCCGGTCGACGTTTCGTTGCCGACCGCGTGAAAAACGTCGAGACGTGCGTCCGCACGGGGCGAACAGCTATTGCGAAAATCGTATCTACTGTAAACGATATTTTCTCATTTGTTACATTGCCCCGTTCCCGTACCGACCTCGTGCGCGTTGCACGCACGTGACGTTCGGCGCGTTAATTTGTCCGTCGACAAAAAAACTGATTACTTCCAATTAAATACACGTAACGTCGTAACGGATGATACATGAAACTAGAAAAAAAACCAACATGACGAATAAATATTATAAAAGTTTTGACAATCAACAGTGATCGTCTAACAATGAATTACGAAATTAAACAAAGAATGATGGATTGGCCAACTTCGTAATCTTTCGAATTGGACTGTTGCTTGAGAAATGCGTAGGAAAAAAGGAATTGAAAAATACTGGAAGCAGCATATATTCCGAGGGTTGGGAGGATAAGGCAATCAACACTGTTCAATAACATCGGAACGTCTGTACCCCAGTTGAAATTTTAAAACACAAGATTATAATCTATAAATAGTATTAAACAAAGTCACTTCCCTCGTCCGTCCCTGTATATGCTTAGAACTTCAAAACTGCTTTAGAAAGACCATTTACAAAACAGCAATTAGAAATGGTGACAAGTGACCACCTTGAAGAATTCCTCACTTCATGATTATTACTGCACTATATTTTTGTGTGATTATTTTACAAGAAGGATTTGATCAGATTTTACGTTTACAATATGATATCCGGAGATAAAGTTTCTTAGTAGTTCGATTTCAGACAAGTTAATTATAATAATATGGTTTTTCTTTTACTATTTTTATGTTTTGGTCATTTTTTAACATTCATCATACATTAATGATTTATTAATCCGAGATATTTTTTTCCTATGTAATTTTCACATAATAATAATAAAAATAATAATTTATAATAATATTAATAATGATATCCGGTGGTTCCAAATTTTATTTAGGTATTATATTGTAATTTTCATTATTATAATACATGATTTAGTGAACAATTTACTATAGAACATTGATCTTTTGTAAATATTTTTCAAAAATAAAACAAATACAACAATATAAATCCATACAAAGTAAAACACTATTCTTTGAGTATATTAAGAAAAACAAACTAAATATATTAAATATATATACTGAACCGTATGTACATACCGTGATGATACTTTACACAAACAACGCACGTTGGTTAACTATACTTTTGTTTTTAAAAATTTGCATTTTCATTACAACTGTGGTAATAACTGAGTAAGGTATTTCTCGTTTACATACATTTTAAATTTCCATTCTAAAATATTTGTTAGTTAAAAATCGTAAATCAAAGAACTAGTAACTTAAATTGTTTATAAGATGACGATCAGATTAATCAATTATTGCCGTTTTAACCTATTTTAAATTATACCGGTATACTTTTAGCGATTCAGTACTTTCTCAAATTATAGTTATAAAATTATTTATAAATTATAAAATATTTTTAAATGCACGTAATCAAGAACATGAAATTAAAAACATTAAAAAAAAGTAATTTTTATTACAAAAAATTAACAAATACACAGTTTTTATAATGCAACAATGCAGTTTTTTTGATATTACTTCAAATAATTTACAACTAAATATATTAAAACCCTACCATTTGGTGATGTGATATTTTTTATTTTCATTACTAGAAATGTAGGTACCTACACGGGTTATTAATCAATACAGTTGTTACGAATCGTAAACGTTACCAAAATGTTAAAAAAAATATTGTTGCGTGCCGTCAGTTCAGAAGATTCGGTGTTAGGAAGGAAAATAGGATGTTTAAAATATTAACTAAAATTTAATTAAATTACTATTTAAATGTGATAATTCAAAATCCGAACAATTAAATTATAAAATGAACTAGCTTGAAGGTGCTTACTACCGCCGAACATTAGTACCGTTGCTACTATCTTATACATCTCTTTCTTGTATATGAGACTGTGATCCTCTCGAGAGATTAATACACTTGACCCAGAAATAGTCATAGTTATGTTTCATTACATATCCCAACATTAATATACTAAAGACGTTTCATATTTAATATATATTATACATTTTATATTTAATACCCTAGTCCGCTGAAATACATGCATTTTTAAATTGATTGCCTATTGTATACTTAAGTAGTTGGTCTCGCTACTTAACTAGTCGCATAACTAATTTTTCACGTGTCATCATCGTGTGATTTATATTTCTGTAATATATGGTTAATGCCCATAATTCTTTAATCATTGTAACCCTACCACTACTGGTATTTATATATAATTATTGTAATAAGAGTTATTTTAATACGTTATGTGGATCCCCTCCCCCGTGTAATGGTAATTGTAAGAGCGTACATTTTATATGATATTATAACAAAATTATAAAACAATTATCATTCAATGTAACTTTTAACTTTTTTGATATATTTTCTATACTATTTTCCTCCGTAATTTTATTGAATTATATCAGTAAAAACGTTTCTCGTGTTTTCTTTAAAAATAAAAATGCTCATGATCATTAAGAATTAATTCAACACTAAATTACTGCTGAATGAAGTCCGTGAAAATTATGTTCCAATTCAATTTGATTGAACGCATTAAAAATATTATTCGCATCGTCAACCAAATAAACTCTTTATTGGTTTTAATAAAAATTATATGAAAAGTGATTTATTATATGAATACAGTGCTGGGTTAAGGGAGAGGGCAAAGGGTACTGTGCCCCAGGTGGCACAATTTTAGAGACGACAATTTTTTGACGGTGTAAACAAAATTTTTGAAATTTTCTAATGTATATACTAGTTTTTAGGAAAAATTATTAATTTATTATTGAAAAATATTAGTCACAATTTTATCAAATTATAATAGTAACATTATACTATATTAAACAGCTGAGTTATTTCGTTAGTAAACGTTCAGCATATTAACGGTAAAACCATATTATTATTTAGCGCTCGAACCTATGCATTTTTATTTTCTTTACACTGACTTACAATTGTGTTTTTGTATTACTTATATATCTCTATGTGTGTATTATAATTTATAAAAATCAGATTATTAAATTTTAATTTTAATTTAATTAATTATTATATCTTTCTCTCGAGTCTCGTAGTCATAGTTGTCGTCGTTGTTGAGTTCGATTCACCAATTACGATTGATTGAAAAACAAACGTGTGTAATACATAATTTTCAATCGATATGAGTGAAAAGCTGATAAAAATGCATATAATGAAATAAATGAGTTGTTTGGTTTTTTTTTTTTTTTTTTAATGTGAAAGGAATTGACGATGATATTTTACGAGAAATATAAAAGCAATTAGTAAATATTTATAGTGAAGATTTAGAACCTGACCTTGAGAATAATATTATACAATTTAAAACAATAATGAAATATTTTTCAGAAGGTGAAAAATTATTTATGTGCAGTTTTCTTGAAGCATTAACAGCATCAAAGTTAAACGATTAATTTCCTATTGTGGAAATAGTTTTAAAACTTTTTATATCTGTATAATTTTCAAAAACTACTAGAGAAAATAATAAATGAAAATATGTCATCATCGGGTTTAATGTCTATTGAAAATATTGTCCTAAAAAGTATGGATTGGAATGATGTATTAAAGAGTTTGCTGCACAGAAAGCTAAAATATAGTTGTAAATTTCTTATAATGAATAAATTTGTATTAAAATGATTATATTTAGTACCTACTAAGGTCTATAAATTTAAAAACTACTGATGTTAGAATATATTTATAAATATATATTAATTAAACAATCTTAACTATGTTTTTACTTGTGTATACATATATATATACAAATATATATTTGGTTTGTGGAGGGAGGGTTAAAGGCACTTCATGCATATATCCATCCAGTTTATAATAAACAACCGCAATGTAGCACGCTGTTATAGTACACCTAAATGAATAATATTCTAAGAAAGACTATTTAATTTTAAAGTGTAAATCCAACGCGAATGAAATGGTTTTATTCATGGTCCCGTACAATCCGAATTATAGAAATGAAGATCAATAGTATGATGTTCGTACTGGCAGTATAATATTAAAATAGTTCAAAACCTTGTGGTAAAAAATGTATACGACTGTGTGGCTTGGCAAATAAAAAGCAGTATAATTTTATAAAAGAACATTTTTCCATGATAATAATGATAATTATAATAATATTAATAATAATAATAATAATAATAATAATAATATGAAAACATGGCAAATTTTCGTACACTGATAGTTTAATTTGTGTTCGTTAAAAATAATAACCACTTAGTTGAAATTATTTTTTTCAGTATTTTTTAATCGTGATAAAACATAACTGTACTGTTTCTTGCATGCACCTGAATATAATAATTGATCGTGTGGTTGTAACACTAAATCTAAGTAGAGTATAATAATAAAATCATAAAATATTCCCAACGTAATATCAACTCATATTGAGTATTATACATCCGATACTATCAAAACATTTTCTTATTAAAATAATAATTTTAACCGTATATTAATATTATATATGCACAGTCACATACTGTTATAAATGTAGCATATAATGTGTACGTTTTCGATTAAGACACGTACACGGCAATGCGATATTTGGTATATTATATTTTCGGCTTATGAG